ATTACTCGACTTTCTTGCTCCAATATATCAAAACTTGACCATCCAAGATCACGAGGAACAGCTGAGAAAGAATCAAAGCAAACACTGTACCTTGCAGCCAGTAGAGCCTGCCAATGTGAGATTAGAGCTCTCCGTCCCAGCAAGAAAACAGCTCTGGGAAGTTCTCCACATTTGTGACTCACAGATATTCCCAAGGGTTGCTGTTTCCATCTTGCAGTCAACAGACTTGGAGGAAGACGTGCAGTTCTGCTCAACTGTTGTTCTTAAGCAACTTGGCTGAAGGAGATGTTTAAACATTTGTTGGAAAGATGATATATTTGAGTGCTTTAATTTTTTAAACAAAACTCTAGATTTTAAACTGATTTAACTCCTGATTCAACATGGACTAAAATAGGGGCTGAAGAACAAATACTATTTTATATAACACCTATTATGAGCTTAGCAATTTTCCCATTTTAAAACTCCTAAACTAGGGGGTACTTATTCCAAGAATAGACCTGCCCCCCACCCCTCCCCATACATATCATTTCAAATTGCCTCCAGATCCTGAGCTTTGTGTCCAACAGTTCTGGCTCAGGAATTGGCCACCCAGTTCAGGATCTCACCTTGGCTTCTGCTCTGACCAGCCATGCCAAGTGACCTCCCATTCCACTAGGATTTGATTGCTGGCTAATGTCCACTTTTGTCTAACCCACACTCTCTAAGTATCATATAGCATTCTTGATCTACATTTTCTCCCCACACTACTAGTCTATCTTACTCCACTATGTGTGCAGACTGATAGTTTCCACCCTCATGGCCTCCTTTCTATTCTAAGTGAGCTCCCTCATTCTTTCTTTTCTTTCCAAAGTCCCAATTAATAAATGCTAGACCTTAACAATTGTCATGATCTAAATATGGTCACTTTGGATTTTTTCTGCAAATAAACATAAAGGTATAAAAATAATAGAAGAACATTAAATAATGTTCATTTTGTTCTAATAAATGTCATCCCTTCATTTAAAAGGCAAGTAATAGAAGAAACCCCAATCTCTCTCCCAACCTCTTATGTTACTCATGCCTGCCCTGTTCCCTCTCCCAGTGGTCCGTCTGTCTGACTCTTGGCAATCCCGTCACACACACTTTCTCTGGAATGACAGTTTTTTGCCCAGGTTCCACACCCATCCCTCCCTCTGTTCTGCAGATCACACTCTGTACAGATGGAACAAACTGGGTTCAGCCAACAAACTTGTTTAGTTTAACTTACACAGCATTTTAATTTGCCTTTCTCCCCTAACAGTCGCCAATGTGTGAAAATTAGAAGAGTAAGCTTGAAATTAGAAAGTTCCATCTCTGACTGATAATCAGGTTTTTATTTATGCACGGCAAAATCCAGAGCTGCAAAATTTCAGGAAAGTAGAGCTGACTTTTAGCCAGGAGGGCTTACCTGAGACACTTTCCCAATTCATCTCAGTAGAATTTAGAGGTTGTAATGCTGGCATAGAGAAAAGTACAGTATATGATTCTCACAAGCACACAAAAGGATACAGAGAGGTTCAGTTTCACTGCTGTATTAGAGGGAATTCAACATACTAACTCACTATCTGTGTACTTCATCTTGAAAGGTAATCTCAGATGTGTCTTTAATAAAAACTCACACTTCTCAAATCTCCATTTAGTCCTCTTCCCTCAGGCGACCAATGAGACAGCACTCTCTATTTGCTTCACTCAGTCTCTTCCTGGTCTCCACTTCCAACTTCCTCCACTACTTTTTAATTTAAGATGGGAGAGACCTGGAAAACCATAGACTATGATTGACATTAACATTCAGCATAAAGGGGTTTCAAACACTTCTGAGTAATTTTGATAAATAGAATTTCTACTTCTAATAGTAAAAATGTTTTAAAATATTCCATGTCAGATAATGCTAAAGTGGGGTGGATGTGGATGTGTGATATTCATAATGATCCTTTTATGTAATAATTCATAGAATAATCAACAAAAATATGACAAGATAAATGACAACTAATAGGGAAAATGTTAGACTTATCCACAAGAATTTGCCTCAGTTCTTTCAGGAGAAAGCATGAGACAACTAGATGTATCCTTGCCTATGCCACTGATATACAGATGATGCTGGGCAGTTCTGGAAGATTGACAAGTCCTCTGTCCCTCATTCAAAAATAGTCACTTGTATATACATTTGCATATGCTCACACAGACATACAAATATACATATACAATTTTAAAACACAAAAAATAAAATAAACTATAAAAATAATAAACCAGAAAATAGTTAAGCATTAACTAGACAAAGTGAATGAGAAGTGTGAGGTGTGACATTCTAACTAGAGAGAAGGAAACAGACAGAGCAGAGAGAGCATGGCCAGCCACCGCCATGAGAAGCAAAATATAAAGATACTGGTAATTCACAAGCCTTGTGGCAAAGTATAGAATTATAGAAATGGGTTAATTTAAGATGAAAGAGTTAGCTATCAAGAAGCCTGCCATGGCCATAGTTTAAAAATAATATAAGCCTCTGTGTGTTCATTTGGGTCTGAGCAGCTGTGGAACCGAGAGGCTGTGGGACCAGCGGGTGAGAGAGATTTGTCCTGACCATGGGCCAGGTGGGACACAGGAAAACTTTCAGCTACAGAAGCTTATGTCCTTGTTACATTTGAATGAGACATTTGTGGATCGAGGGGCTATCCAAATGGACATAAAGACCTAGAACTCACAGACGTAGATAGAAGAGGATGCAGCATGTCAAAAAAAAAAAAAAAAAAAAAAAAAAAAAAAAAAAAAAAAAACAGAAGACAGACTAAAATGGGTCATCTGAGCAAGAAAATCATTTATAAACAGGTTATTAAGACAGGTACAGAACACTGAAGACTGCTGATATTTAGGATCCTCTATAAGACATGTGAGGCATGGTGGGATGAGGATGAGGAGGGTGATGTGTTAGAGAAGTATTTCAGAAGAGACACTCTATAGAAAGAAGGGACTTGTTGACATTATCAAACGCCAGAGAAAATGGAACACAATAAAATCCAACGTTGTTTCTTAGGTTTGGTAATAACCTTAGTGAGATCAAGGGATAGTTCATGGGGAAGAGACAGAAACTGCATCGGGTTGCCGAGTTTATTCAACACAATTGTGGAGAAAAGGGAGAATATTGACCAATCTAATCTAGCCAGAGTACTGTAGTGGCGCACATTCCTTGTCAGTAACTAACAGCTCTCTAGTTGGATTTAAGACCCATTCAACAAGAGGAAAGTCATGCCTGGTACCAGAAACCTTGAAAACTACACAGGCTACTGAAGTCATGGATCTTGGAGGAGATCCACTTTACTAAACCAACCTAACTATGCTCTAAATATTTTTCCTTACACCCACAGATAAATGCTGCCCTCACTCTTAACAAGGAAAGTTCTCTTTGCAACAGATGGAGATCATTAAAGAAAACCACAGCCAGTGAAAATGCAGAGCTGTGGAGCCCAGTCCCAATACATAACCTACAAACAACTCCCACATTAGAGAAGATGGGGAGGAATGATTATAACAGCAAGAAGATCATGGAATTTGTTGTGAGATTGTGTCTCCTCGGAATGTCAGAAGCACCCCTGAAGTCTCACCAACATGACTGCACACATGTGAGCTGAACAATGACGACAATAATAGACATGCCAAAGTGGATGAGGGAATGCCCAGAAGGCCTCAACTTTACAGAAAGAACTATAGGCAACTACAGAATGCTGAGGGCAAGATAAATAGTCTTTCCAAAGAGAGAAAGAGCTCAGTGATTGGTTCTCCAATAACAAATGATTGGCCTGAAAACATGCATACTAATAATATTATACAATCTTAGCAGGATGTATTTATGTATTTAGGAATGTGTGTGTGTGTGTGTGTGTGTGTGTGTGTGTGTGTGTGTGTGTGTGTGTAAAACAACAATTAATGAAAAAGAGGCCATAGATTCAAAAGAGAGCAAGGAGTGGTATATGGCAAGGGTTTGGAGGAGAAAAGGAAAGAGGAAATGATGTCATATTTTAATCTAAAAGAAAAATAAAAGCAGTTTTAAAAAAAATAATAATGAGTGTTAGTCAACTCATGTGAGTAAATCAATACATATTGTGTATAAAAAAACTACTTGACTTCAGTAGAAAGAGAACAAATTGAAAGATGATGATTAATTCAAAGAAACCCTGGATTGGTTGCTTTATTTATGTTGTTTCTTGTTGATTACTAAAATGACTACAAGCAAATTCATGGACAGCAGACAACATTGGGTTGAATTTTCCAAGACTCACCAACATAACTCTGAGCAAACGCCTTTATCCTTCAAGTCTTGGTTTGTTTACTGTACAGGAATACAGGGATCAATGGCAGGGCATAGGCTGAGTCATGTCAGTAAACATGAAACCTTGCTAGAACCCCACTGTGAAGCACTGAGTATTGTCTGGGGTGAGGAATGGCTCAGTCTCTGAAGTGCTTGGTGAGTTCAGACCAGCAGCACCCACAAAGAAGCTGATGCACATCTGTACCACAGTACTGGAGAGGCAGTAAGCTCCAGGTTCCATGAGAGATTGAGGAAGATACATTTAAGATACCAGCACACAAACATGCACATAAACCACTGATGCACACACGTATAATACAACACCCACACACACATGCACACACAGAGATGCATACATGCACACACACACACACACATACACACACACACACACACACACACACACACACACACACCACAAGAATTATGTATTTTTCCAAGGGCAAGTTATTTTCAGTATTTATAGAGAGGTTTGTTTTGGTCCTGTTTGGAGATACAGATGCATTTTACAAGTAAATTGTATAACAAATAGTCACATATGCTAGAGTCCAAATCAGAAGAACATTTAAAAATATTAATCAAAAACATGATGTGATAAGCTTGCTACTTTTTTTTTACTGTCTTTAACATTAAAAATATAATACAATGAAACAAATCAGATAACAGAAAGAAAAACGGCATGATTTTCAACATAGAGATTTTAATGGAGAGGACTGGCTTCATGGGTGTTAGAGGACTGAGCACAGAGTTAACTCAGAAATCAGTCACAAATCTGAGACCCAGGGAACAAAGGGAAAGGATAAAGACAAATGAAAACTAGGAGAGAGCAGGAGGTACCCCGGATCTGGTACTGTAAGGAAAGGACTTGGGCTGGTTGTAGCTGGTGTCCCTGAGAGAACATTATGAGACTGCCTCTAGAAGCGCCAGCAGGGGCAGGAGGCCGGGACCACTCCACAGCCATGGCCACAACGGAAGCTTCGTGTCTGGATCCAGGAAGAACAGTACCAACTGGAAAACGTCTTGCCTCCTCTCCCACTCTCACTCCACAGGATCAAGTCCTACTCCGTGCCTTCAGGAAACTGCGGTGTGTGTCCGAGGTACATGGCTTCTAAGGTTATTGTCCTGGAATCCCAGAGGAGAGCAGAAGAAAGAGCATGTGAGGCTGAGACAATACAGATAAACAGCTCAACCCATTGAGTGAAACTGTGGGCACCAAGACTAATGTTAAAGCACAGATCTTACAGAATGGGTCATCAGAGGTTTATACACGAGCAAATGAGCAGGTGTGAGAGAAAAGAGGGAACGCTGTTCCATTATGAATATATGACATGCACCAAGAGAGAAGGAGGGAAAGATCTCTGTTAAAAATGGAGGCTAAGCATCATGCTGCACATCTACAACCCCAACACTCATGAGGCTGAGCCTATAGGCTCTTGAGTTCAAGGCCAGCCTGGACGAGAGAGTAAAACCTAGTCTCAAAATAAACAAAGAGGATGCAAGTCAGTGGTAGAATGTTTGCCTAGCCTACAAAAGGTTCCAAATTTGATCCCCAGCACACAGGGGGTAAAAGTGAAAATAGCAATATTAAAAATTCTGTGTGATGAGACAAGGTGGAAGCATGGATCTAAAATCAGTCCCGTGAGCCATTATTAAATGCCCCATAAAACCATGTTCCCTCAAATATAGGTTTGCCTGGCTCAGACTCATGGACAATACTAGTGAGGAAGTACCCCAAAGTTAAGATGGATCAACAGTGACATCTGCTGCCAGGGACCTGTTTTGAAAGTGGGCTGTCTCAACATTTGCAAGTAGAGTCCTGCCAAACCACTGGGCTTGGGCTGTGATGAGTCAGCACTCCCACAACGCCTGTTTGTCATTTATGCTATTAGAAGATTTTCCAAAGAGAACACAGAACATGGGAAAATAAGAGAATGTTTGAAAATGTAACTAAAACAAACAAAAACAGTGGAGGCTGAGACATAAGCGATGAGAAAAAGACTCCACTTTATCTTTTCTCATCCTGCTTCCCTTTGGCTAAGTAAGTTCAAATTAATTCTGTAATTGTTAGCAAGCATGAACATGCTCCCAGTGAACAGTATTAATGTAACCATTGCCTGCTTCAACAGATTCCAGCATAATAGCCAGGCCACAGAGGAAAAAAAAATGTCCAAGGATCAAAGGAGATTATGCATAAAATTTCAGAGTAACCCTTGCTTAGGAAAACCACTTCCTAATTATCTAACTATTTACCTGGATTATACATCCTTCAACATCTGCTGGCCCTCAGGCATTTTCTTTTACTTTCGTGAAAGCTGGTTGAACATAAGGTTTGAATCAAACATCATGTTTAAAATGATCATAATAACTGCCAGTATAAAATGCTCAATGTGATTCAATTCTATAAACCAGAAAATATGAAAGAAAAAAAGAGTTAATTTATTTGTTTATAAAAATAGCAAATGATAATGAATTCAATTATTTTGAAAGAAGTTGAGCATGACCAATATTTCAGTTGAAGAACTCCTGAGTTTGGACTTCCATCCCAGGATTGCCACCACACAATGTGGCATCTTGAGCAAATTACACTTCTCTGGGCCTCATTTTTCTGTGCTATAAAATGAGAAGATTGTACTGTATGTGGGATGGCAGATGGACTGGCTGCAACTCTTTTTTCTTGAATTTAGCAATGTCTGCTTATGAGTTAGTCACATAGCAGCATGAAGACTCCATGGAAAGACTTACTAGCAGGGTATGTTGTGGACAAAGGAAACACAGAGACCCCATGAGCACCTCACAGATGTTCTGGTCTACTGTGGACAATGGATGTGTGGAGTGTCCATGTGCACCTCACAGATGTTCTGGTCTACTGTAGACAATGGAAGTACGGGGTCTCCATCTAAACCTCACAGATGTTCTGGCCTCAGACAAGAAGATCTTGCTCTTCTTTTGGAACTGTAGATTACATTATCAGCTGCATATTTAGTGCATATTATGATTTCCCTCTACAAGGTGCTCAAAAGATATTATTTCTTGTACTCACAGTATTTTAAAGGAAAACAAGCCTCAAAAAACTAAAGAATTTCCCAGAGTCAGAAAACACAGACTCAACAAGTAACATAACAGCCCACCATTCTCTGTTATAAGTGATCTTAACTTCTCATATTTGGATCTATACCCCTAGCCCCCTCCCGAAACATAAAAGTCATATATTATAGCATCCCTGTGCCTTGTATGTCAGTATTTAATATACACATATGCTTACACAAGGAAAGCATAGCTCTTTTGACATGAAATTCAGCTAGTCTACACAAACACAAAGGGGCAGTGCAGAAGACCTGCTGCAAAAAATATTTGAGAAAGTGCTTTTTTTCCCCTTTACATCCAGACCATAATTTCCTCTCCTTTATCTTTTCTTATTTCCTCCCCCTACCTCATCTCCAGCAACCCCCATCTGCTTCTCTTCTGTTTCTGTTCAACAAGAGAGTAGGCCTCCCATAGGTATCCACAAAGCGTGGTATATCAAATTGTTCTCAACAGACAAAAAGGATTGCCCTTTTAAAGATTAAAAGTGATAAATGATAGGAAAAAATGACACAACAAAGTCATGTTAAAGTTAAAAGAAAATAAAATTTTTATTAATTAAATACAGAATAGTACTAAATCCAAAGTTGGAAAGATCCACGTTCACAGAACACTGTGATACACCAATTGGATGTCTGACTGATGTAACTGCTATAATACTCAGGGTTGTACTCGATATAAGTGAAGATTAATAATACTAGCTGATGGTACTAGTTTATAAATAATATGAACTAGTTTATAAATAATATGAACAATGAATTCATAGTAAAAAGAATATTTCTGAGGTTTCTTTAATATGAGGTATTGCCTTGGCTTTAGTCATGCTTTAGGTCATAGTGTTCATGTTGGGCCGAAAGCAAACACTCTAACTTTCCATTAGAGCACACTAACTCTTCCCATCAGATAGCAAAACCATCAGCAGCCTCCAGCAGTGGTCAACACTTGCAGGTTTGCACATTGATGTTTTCAGTGATAGACAATTACCTTTGGAAAATTACCTGGCAAGATAGTTTCATTTAAAAAAAATACAAGAATGGAACCATAGAATAAAAATGAGTACTAGCAGTCAAAAAGTATCTTTCATACCAAAATCCTATCAAAAAGTATATTTCATATAAAAAATGCTGTGTGGTCTTATGATTACCTAGTTGATTCATCTGTGTTATAAGCCTCTGTTCTTCATTTATAAATAAATTATTCAATTACTCATCACAAGGTACGCACTGACAAATCAGTCTAACTATAAGAAGCTGGTAACTGGAGCTAGAAAGATGGCTCATCAATTAAGAGCACTTGCTGTTCTAGCAGAAGACGTGGGTTCCATTCCCAGCACCAACACAACCTCTTACAGCTATCTGTAACTTTGGCTTTGTGGGCTCCTGTGCCCTCTTCTGGCCTCTGTAGGCATTAGGCACATATGCGATATACAAACACACATGCAGACAACCATGCATACACATAAAACAATAATAACTTTTAAATGAATAGTTGGTTGGATATAGGCATAAGATAAATTAAAATACAAAATCATAAACTACATGCACACCGTGAGCAAGAGAAGGCATTTCTTTTCTCTCATAGGAAAGATGCCAAGAGACCAAAGGTCATAAAGACACAGAAACACAAGAAGGAATTGAAGATCAGTGCATTTCTCTAGACACTAATAATTTATATGATATTAAAATAGTAAAAAGTGGTAAACTTGAAATTATAGACCCACTCATCTATAAAATACCTCTAGAAAGTGGACAGTCAGCAATAACTGAGAAAGGGTGCTTATATAACTTGTGTAAAGCAAAGTCCCACATTATATTTCATACCTACTGTTCTGCAGCAGTATCATTCCAAAGTGTGAAGGTCCACTGTGACATCATGCACTGAGTCTGAACAAGAAAGCTCTACAGAATGCTGTTCAACATATACTCCATGACTAATTCTGTTTGTAGAGTGAGCTGAGCTGTGGCTGTGGTCATACTCAACCAGCCAAGAGAATGTTTCCAGAGTGCAATTGTTCCAGCATCAAGGCACTTTACAACATGTCCCCATTGCCTTTTGATACTCTGTGGCCAGGAGACTGCTGAGAAAATATTATTCACCAGAATTAGACTGGACTAGTCATCTGCCTGGTTGTTACATTGCACGTCAGCTCAAGCCATGTCTGCAACTGAACTTACCAGATGTTTCTAATTTCTCTACCTTATGAACTACAAGTTCAACTTCTTTCCTGGCTTTGAAATATTTTAAACAAATAACTTTCTGTGATGTCTCAGGAAAGTTACATAATAAAGTCCCAGGTAGTATCATAATAAGAGTCCAGGCTCTCCTGAGCTGCCATAGGCCTGTTCCACTCACTACCTCTCACATTCTTTTGATAAGGCTTTAACTCTAAGATTCTCATTCCAATCTAGAAAGTCCCATCAAGCTAACAGATGTTGAAAACCACTAAAATTCTTAAGCTACTATACATCCTTTGCTGATGTATTCAGTAAAATACATGTTACATGAAATTAAGCTCTTAACATACATAAAAGTCACCAATTTATACACCTTTCAAATAAGCACTATGTTCTAGAAAACTATCCAAAGATTGTGCACATGCTTAAAAAGAAACATACAAGAATAATAACAAACAATACTTTATTAATAGAGAACAGCAGTAAATTTTATATTGTGTCCAGAAATATGACAGAGGCTGGGCAGTGGTGGCTCACTCCTTTAATCCCAGCACTGGGGAGGCAGAGGCAGGTGGATCTCTGTGAGTTTGAGGCCAGCCTGGGCTACAGAGTGAGTTCCAGGAAAGGCACAAAGCTACACAGAGAAACCCCATCTTGAAAAAAAAAGAAAAGAAAAGAAATATGACAGAGACTGTAAGACAATTATACACATAATAATAATTAAATGAAAAAGCAACAAATAGGTCAACATGAATATATATATGTAAATATACACAAATGCCTACATATACTATATAATTTTGTAGCTGTGGATTTTATTTGGTTGCCATGTATAAGAATTCTTTATTTAAATATAAATAACTTTGGAGGGATAGAATAAAATGAAAGTAAACTGAAAATATGAGGGTTGGAGAACTCTACACACATGAATTCACAGGAGGTGGGGTGTAAAGAAGGAGCAGAGAGAGCAAACAGCCCTGGAAAATCCCTGATTCCCAAAGGCCACATGAACCTGGCTCTTACTCTCTTCAGAACACCTTTCCACAGCACTGTGGGCACCTGTCTCCATTCAGATCCTTTGCAGCTTCTCAGGAGCAGCATTTGACCCTTGACTACAGTTTCCCTTCTTCCATGAATTATCTTACCCTGGTTCTCAGTATGGTCTCTATCAGCCCCCTTTCAGCGCTCCAGCAGCCTGGCACCTCTCTTTTTTTTTCCTGGAATTATGTCTTCAAGGTTTTGGTCACAGGCATTCCCTTTGGAATGAGAACGGGTTCTCAATGTCTTCCATACTCCCTTGGAGACATATCACTTTTTATTTATAGATGATCTCCTGTCCTATACCTCTGGTACTTATATGTATCCTCACTTTCCCTTCTCCAATTTTTATCCACTCTCTGATTGGCTACAGAGCACTTCTTTCAATTACTGTATAAAATATCAACTCAATCTTAATCCTCCCCAATCTCTCCTTCTTTCATGGTGTGTGTGTGTGTGTGTGTGTGTGTGTGTGTGTGTGTGTGTGTAAAATGCACTATTTATATGCATATGTGTGTATGTGTATATTAACTTTATAACTGAATTCCAGGTTCCACATAGTTAAAAACTAAATTAACTTAACTACATACCTGTGTCTACATACCCTTTAACCAAGATTAGTGCTCTACACTAGATTATTACTAAATTCTTAGTGAATGCATTTTTGTGAGTAAATTATTTTCCCCCATAACTGCTATAGTTAACACACATTTTAGTAAGCACAATAATATTTAGGAAATTGGCTTATGAGCTATTTACTTACTGATTTTTGATCCCAGCTTTTCTACAATGGATTTGAAATGGTCTATATACTGGTTACTGGTTTACATGTCCTCCTTCCTCATTGGGCTGAGCTTTGGGTGCTAAGATGCTATTTTACATTACAAGGGACTAACTTCAACAACATCAACTAGTACCTTATATTCATCTTTATTAAAAGAAAAGAAAATGAAGCGCACACATTTGTAAACAGTACCTTACTATTTAGTGAACTGATTTATTTCTATTAAAAAAGAATGCATATTTGCACAAGATAGAATTTATCTTTCACTATTGCATCAGAGTGATGAAAGGCTACAAAATCCCATATGTGGTAAATAAATGTTTTATTACACAACTGAATTATTACTAAGAGTCTCGGGAGAAGACTAAAATCTGCAGCTGAAACTTTTCTGAAGATCCCCCAAATCTCTGGAGCTATATTGAGGTTCATTGGAGATAGGAAGCTAATGTGGCCTTCAAGCCAGCTCTCATATAACTTCTGGGAAATCTGTCTTGCTATTGCAGGTGTTTGGGTGGCAGCTTTGGTACCAGTCTTGGAACATAGAAATCCTCCCACAAAGTTACCGCTCACCATCTCTTAAAGCCCCATGGGGTTACTGGTTAGTAGCCTTGTACCAAACCCTGCCCTCTCCAAAGCATTGCCAGGAAACAGAGTGCAACACTTAGATGTCTACACACCAGGAACCTTTCTGCCTCTCTCCTCACTCCACAGTCCATTACTTTTTATCCTGAAAGCAACCATCCTTTCAAATATCCAGCCAAGACACTTTCCTGTGCTTTCACATCCACTTTATTTTACAGATTACACAAATCCCCCCTCATTTATGAGGTTCAAATTTCTAGAACAAAAGCCAAGTGTTGTTCTTTTACATCTATCCCTTGAGAGATGATGAGCTCCAAACCAAATGTTTAAATAGAAAGCTGGAAGAAAAATACAGCACATTCTTCATAAACTAGGTTCCTTTCTCAACAAATGGTCCAGATCTCTTCCTGGCTCATCCATCATTGGTCTCATGTCTTCCCTTTTATTCCCTATTTTATTCTCATTGTAATTCCAGTTCATATCACCCTGTTCTTGGGCCTTATCAGCTTATTCCTGAATTATTACAACAGCTTCTTTGGACTTCTACTTCATTCTGTCACTCCTTTCTTCTAGGAAAACCTTTACTATGTCTCTGTAAAATCTTCCCACTGGCTGTCACAAAATAAAACTTCATCTGCTGACTTGAAAATCGCACATGCAAGCTGCCTTAATCTAACTTAATTGACCTAGTTCCCAACATTAAGCGTCCTTTCCAAAGAAGTTTAGCCAGCAATTTGTCCCCTCATACATCCCTTACACACCTATGTAGCATTACTTTAACTCACATTGCTACATCATCTCATCTTATGTAAAGTGTAGCCAATGTTTAGCACCAATACACCACTGCACCTCTCTACTCAACGTAGCTAAACCATAGGGACCAAATTGTCCATTTTAGTATATAGTTCTGTTTTTAATTATTCACCTATTTCTCTCATTTTACTCTTTGTGTGTTCCATTCATTGCAAACATCTTGAAGATAGGCTGCATATCTTCTTCATTGTACTCACCACAGATATAGATATGTTATAGGTAATTCATGTAAATTACCAACCATTGGCACCTTCTCAACCCAACTTATTTCTCCCACCCTCTACATTTACATATATTTCTTTCTACATGACATCACTCCCTACACCAAGAATCAGCAAAAATACTTTATTGTTAACACAGAAATTCAGCATATAAAAATTAAGTATATAGAACTGATATGTTTCAAAATAAAGATGCAAAGCCCACAATAGAGACAACAGTCATAAATTCTAAAATCTAGAATATAAAATAGATACATTAATCAAATAAAAGATAATAAAAAAGATATTAGCTTTTATATTTAAGAAGATACATTTTAAATTATTTCTTTTATATTTCAGATTATAATATAATTATATTATTCTTCCTCCCTTTCCTTCCTTCAAACTTTTCCATATACCACTTAACATTCTTTCAAATTCATGACCTCTTTTTTCATTAATTGTTGTTACATTTATATATGTATATACATTTTGAGTGTCTCTTGGTTGTATAATAAACAGTCCAAGGAAATAATAGAATACAATGTTCATGTAGGTCTCTGCTACCATAGTCCTACATTAGCTCCAAGCAGGAGTAAAGGACACTCAGGTGAGTTTGACAACTACAATTGTGCTGTTTCTAATCTATTGCCTTGCGAAGGAACTGCTCCAAATCAACAGTGGTATGAAGAACAGGAAATAGGAAGCTGGAACCTTATTTAAATAATTTAGTAAAACCTATTTATTTTCTCTTTTTTAAAAAAATGAAAGAAATAAAGAGAAAGTCAGTCCATAAACCATCCTGCAAAATGAGCATACTAAACTTTTGTCCCTAGGTAGGTAGCTATTTAGAGTAGAGGCTGAGTTATAAATTAATAATAATAATAATCAAATACTTACACTATACATCCAAATGTATTGCCTAGGAAACATCTAATTTACTGAGTCAGTTGACCAAGTGATTAATTCCTAGTTGATCAACTCATCATAAAAAGTTTAATCAAGAATCAAGACTTAAAAACACAATTTCTAAGTGGTCTTGAGTCCATTTTAAGAAACATGATGAAACACTAATAAAATTTAAATTAGAATATGGTCTCATAGATCAAAAAAATTCCCTAGAAAAATGTAATGCCAAAATAATTTATTTTACTGGCTATGAATATAAGCTTTGCATAATGAAGTGAAAGGATGCATGATAGCATAACACAATCATCAGATTTAAGAGCAGAATTGACTATTTTAAGATATTTATTCTTATACAAGCTAAGATGCATAAACTATAGGAAAATGAGGTGGTGACTATTTTAAGACACTTTACAAAAATTACTTATTTTGTACAATTTTATGAATCTATCAACTGCTATCATCATTAAAAATCCTCAAAGGAAAAATTTCTACCTACATCACCTTTGGGTAAAATGATGTGACAGTTTAAATGGCCTCCAGGGCATAGAAGAGCA